TGTGAGATATTAAATAAGACTTCATAATAATGCCTTACATTGCATGCAACATATTCAGCATGCAACGTCTTCCTATGTAGCTATTCATTTGGAATCATTTGTAGCTATTCGCTTGATTGTTATTATAGCTTGTAGTAAAGCCTTAGGCAGGGTGTGGGTTGTCTATTGTCAATCTGAGAGCTGTTCTAATCATTTCTTCTGCACTGTTTGAATTAGAAATCACGGTGAAGAGAACTTATTTCAGCATTAGAGAGCAAAAGGACTTATTGAGCTCTTTTGCATCAGTGAAAATTAATGGAGTACTGCTTGCTTAACGCAGGTGGCAAACAGACTACTCATCCGCACATTCATTAATAAGTCAGGGAGATGCATAAGTCGCATGATGCACTTTAACAGCTGGTGCTAGAAAGGCACGCAGGGAAGGAAACATGATGAATTGATGAAAAACATGAACTCATAAACCCAACTCATTAAATATACCAATAAACCACCCCACCAACTGCCGCAAATCTGGTGGCACCTGCGCCAACACTGTTCCAGAGCATTCAGTGTCCATTCAGTCATAGCGCCTTGACCACTGGGATTTAGCACTGCCATCAGATACAGCCATGAGGCAGAGCCAGAGTGGCACAGAGCTCATTCAGATCTCAATATATGACTGGGTAGCCATCCATTTGAGATGACTTTCAATGAGTCAGTCACCCTGTGCTGGGCCTGCTCTCTGATTTCTCCTCTCATAGGACACAACATCTGAACAGATGTGGGAATGGCAGGCAGCAGCCGCAGTCAAGGACTCTGGGCTTATGAGAAGTTCACAGACGTTAGCACCCTCAACTGAGCAGGAAAGCTCTGTCCAGGGCTGTGCAGTGTGATGTTTATATGCATATTGTGGTTCTGAAAGGAGAGCCATTTTGTGCATATTGTGGTATGTAAATATAAACAACAACAACAAAAAAGGCACTCCTCTCATAATTATTCATAAAAATTAAGTTGCATAAAGTGGCACATCTTTTAATTACTTATGCTAATTAACCTTATAGGACTGTTACCAATCATGAAAATATGCAGAGGTGGCACAGAAGCTGCATTTGAAGTGACATTTACAAAGCAAAAAATATATATATATTTGAAACTGTAAATAAAACAGATTTATGGAGTACAATTTTCAATCTTTCTACATCTATTTTATGTTTAATTCAATGTGTTACTTTGTAATTCAATGTTAATTATTTGTGAAATTTACTAGTAATTCAAAGCTATTATTTCAGTGTAGATGTATTTACGCCGACTACTAAATGTTGTCAGTTTAGAAAAAAATTAAATGATACTCTTTTTGTAAAACGATCTTTTTCCGAACTGTATTTGACATGAATGTCAATTTTTAAGTGATGAATGAACTGCACTACTTGGTTGTTTTCAGAGATGGTGACAGACTTGTGCTACAATTGTGTGGCCTGTGCTACAAACCTTTCAACCTCTGTAGCACCAGAGCTACGTGCAAAAAAGTTAATGTATAGCCCTGCTGTCACCATCATCAGGGAAGCTACTGCAATCAGTAATGGAGCCCTGACATTTAGAAAGAGGAACTAACAGAGAGATAGACGTAAAGCAAATGGCAAACAAAGTGAGGAAAGGGCAAAGCGTGACATTAAATGCAGCGTTATGGACTGCATCAAAATGCCACATCATAGCACTGTTGTTCTGCAGTAACCAACATCGTCTCCAAACACATTCTGTTTTGGCAGCACAGCCTCAAGGGTGGCGGTGGTATAAATAAGGCCCCCCAGCAGCACAATGAGAACCGGTTTAGAGGAGGTGGGTTTATAAAAGAGATTAAGAAATCGGTCATCATTTATTCACCCTCAAGTTGTTCCAAAGCTTTGTTTCTTTCTTCTGTGAACACAAAAGATGACATCTTGAAAAATGTTAGTAACCAATCAGCTGCAGGTAGCCAGTGACGTCCAAAGCATGGAAAAAACAAATACTATGGAAGTCAATGGCTACTAGGAAACAATTACTACTAAAATATTATCAGGAAAATATTAATTTGTGTTGAACTGACAGATTGACAGAAACTCGGGCTGTCAAATGAAGAGAATACATTTTTAATCTCATGATTTCCAGCTGGCATACTCTTGAGGGTCTACGGACCAGTTTGAAAGCCCCTGTATCAGAGTTCAGTTAATGTTCCTATCGCATAAAGAACTCCTTAATCATTATGCATGTGATTTAAAATTATGCCAGCAGTCCACTACAGAAATATTTGTCACATTTTTTTTTCTAACATTTGCACACTATGACTAAAGTTAATTTATAATAGCAATAATACGACTAAGAGGAAGTGTGACTTTTATCTGTGGAACACAATAGATTTGAACACAAACGTTTTGGACCCCATTGAATGGACAAAAGCAATGTAAATGTTTTCAAAATATCTTTGTGTTCCGACGTGAGAATGAATAATGCTCATCTTGACAGTATTTGAAGTCTTGCCTAACCAAACCTGCGGTCTGAGACGCGTTCATTCAGATTCAAAATATCTTTGTGTTCCGACGTGAGAATGAATAAATAATGCTCATCTTGACAGTATTTGAAGTCTTGCCTAACCAAACCTGCGGTCTGAGACGCGTTCATTCAGGACGTGTTCTTGCTTTTAGAATCTTCTAGACACAGAGTAAGCGAGTGGAACTGACCGCGCGAGTCTCGACACTCGCTTTTGAAAGTTGAACTACATTAAACGACGCGAGAGGCGACGGTGAGACGCGCGTGTAGCCTATATTGAAAATAATTATTAAAAAAATAGTAACAAACAGAACGAGTCCTCTGTGGGTGTCCCGCCACTGATTTTTTATAAGCGATTACCTGTAAAAGATCTCGCGCAAAAATACCTTCTACATTTACGTTGAAAGCGAACCTTTTAAAAGCGGTATCACTGGAGACGAACGATCAGAAAAGAATGCGCAAAAACACATTAAACCAAAAAAGCAAGTCAAAATAGCAACCCGAAACTTCCCTCAGTTCACATCAACACTCCTCCGTTCATCATGGCGCAAATAAGCACTTTAAAGACTTACCCGACAAACACACGCGTGATTTCAGAGGGGTACAGCACTCCACACAGCAGCTGTCTGCATGTGATGGTCCACGAGTGTGAGAACCGCAGCAGCTGCCCTACATTTACGTTGAAAGCGAACCTTTTAAAAGCGGTATCACTGGAGAAGAACGATCAGAAAAGAATGCGCAAGTCAAAATAGCAACCCGAAACTTCCCTCAGTTCACATCAACACTCCTCCGTTCATCATGGCGCAAATAAGCACTTTAAAGACTTACCCGACAAACACACGCGTGATTTCAGAGGGGTACAGCACTCCACACACAGCAGCTGTCTGCATGTGATGGTCCACGAGTGTGAGAACCGCAGCAGCTGCAGATGAGCTCAGTGACGATACAGCGGCAATCCCTAAACACGGGACGCACGAGGATATTGTAATAAACCTCTTTTATCTTAAAGAGGTTCAATCAAATTAATGGAGGCCAGAGGGTATATCACAACACTAGGATTTTATAGAAAATTATCACTTTATTTGACAATTATACATAGAAAAATATAACCGTTATGTAAAGAGACATTTAAATAAGTCCAACGAACATTTCACTCCGTACCCTTTACACTAAAATGTAAAGAGACATTAGTGTGCAAAATTGCAGCGCCGAAAACGGAATAAATCATTTTGCACAGCTTTCTTTATAAACTGGACCAGCTTGATAGTCAACACTACCCGTTGAGGTCGTAATGAAATTCTGAAAGTTTCAATTGGATAAAAAATTAAATACAAAATCCTTGATCCCATGATATTACTAAGTATGCCGGATCCCACACTGAATAATTGCTATATTCTAACATTAACAACAAAATACTGTGGAAACACGGTACAGTGTTGGTAACAGATTAAACCATGGTACTGATTAGTAGATACCCATTAGTTAGCCTATATACGGGTTTAATTCACAGAACCCAGAATCCCAATTGACATGAGCCTATTTTGTTCTTTTTTCTATTTTATGATTTTTAACCTCTTTAGTCATTTCAACATTCAAATTCTCCATGGGCATTTGAATAAAGACACAAAAGTGTCAAGAATATCGCATGTCTGGAAAACAACTGATAACTCATCTGATAAACCTCAGCCTAACTGTATTCACTGAGGTCATTAGGAAAAAGAAAGCTAGTTGGGCGTGACACGAGCTGTTCTCAAGATCTCCTGTAACTGGATGTGCCAGTGCTAATGATCACGCTCACATACGACTAATCACATGAAGATTGGTTCTTTGTAGATCTTTTATTCTTACGGAACTAAGACGAAGAAATGCCATGTTTCTTCCTCTCTCTGTCAATAGGTTCTGCGTTCATCTAGTTGGTCAACAGATGTATTATGGTGGAATTGATCGTTATGAGCAGAATAGATGTGAGATCACGCACAGATAGTCAGACGTCCTTAAATCCAAGCCATACTATTGGAAAAAAGTTTATGCACAACTGTAACCAAGTGTGTAGGACCAGTCTGACTGTTTCACAGGATAAGTGAAAAATATTTATCTCAAAATCAATGTGCCTTTTATGTCATGCACAAGCAAGTAACTTGCCTCCCCCTAGCGGTGATGCTAAACAAATACATCGGAGAATGTACTGTTGGGAGTATCATAACAGAGAACGACACCACAAATAGACAAAAAAAGAAATATTTATTTCATGATAGACCTCAGTTTTCAAATAACTGTCTATTCAAAAATTGTACACAATTTCTTTTTTTTTTAAAGATTTTTTTTTCAGGATTCACGGACAGCAGTTGTAATATATATATATATGACCACATGCAATGGGGTTTTTTGTCCACTACACAAACAGGTACTAAGCCCCTAAGCCAGCGCTACCTTGACCTGAGCTGCACTCTTCCATCACTAAACGACACCACAAATAGACAAAAAAAGAAATATTTATTTCATGATAGACCTCAGTTTTCAAATAACTGTCTATTCAAAAATTGTACACAATTTCTTTTTTTTTTTAAGATTTTTTTTTCAGGATTCACGGACAGCAGTTGTAATATATATATATATGACCACATGCAATGGGGTTTTTTGTCCACTACACAAACAGGTACTAAGCCCCTAAGCCAGCGCTACCTTGACCTGAGCTGCACTCTTCCATCACTACAGACAGCTGTACTCAAGCCTGGAGCATGGCTAAAAACACGTCCGATGCTTTATTGCAGTCTAGCACTCTCCCACCTCGATTTATGGGTTCAATTTCTGATGGCCGACAACAGCAAAAGGTTTTTCTCCAAGGACTGTATGAGGGACACATCCATGCACTTACGGAGTTTACAGGAATTTTTCAATATCAGACTTTGAGGGACCACTGTGTGAAGGATTTTACTTTTTTTCTTTTCTTCCAGAGGTAAAAATAAGGACATAAAAAAAATATATAAAAAAAATTTGATGTCCATGTCTGGAGTGTGGTGTCCTGTGTTACAAGGTCTCTGGACATATAAAGTGCACTTGATGGCTGAGGTTCTTCAGCAGTGGGTCTCCTCATCCACAACAGCAAAAAAGAAAATTCTGCCCTAACTCAGGGATATGTAGCACTGTAGCACCAGTTGTGTCCACCAGTAAGGCAAGATACTGTAATGTGGCAGGCTGTATACGAGAAACGTGGAATGGCAAAATGTATGTGCTTGTAGAAGACAAGAAAAGAAAAATCTCACAAAAACCTCTGGGTATTCATGAAAATCAGTGCACAGAACAGCATTCGGTTTTCCCTTTTCAGTCCAAATTTGGACCACTGAGAACATGGAAATAAATGCTCATCACAGAAACAGCATTCACTGAACCTCTTCCTGAAACTCCATTGCACTTTTACATCCTCTTGAAGCAAGAGGAAGATATGATGGTGCTCGTATCCTTCATTGTCCAAGTAAGCTAAAGCACTTCCAGCCATGACCGAATGCTTTTGGTTAGCTGCCCCTTCATTCCAGTGAGATGACAAGCAGATCTGGTCACCTGCTCATTCCAGTTCAAGAAATGTTCAGTCTCTTTTATGGTCTTCTGGTTGAGCAGCATCCGGCTGAATTGGCGGATAGGCCCATGAGAGTGCACCGCTAGAGAACGGAGTTAACGCTGCAGCTATATAAACTAGACTCTGTTGGGAGTGAAGAGCATGTACGAAAAGGCACCGTATTTCTGGACAGGGCAGATGTACGAATGTGTATGTGCAAGATGAGTCTGAATCCATTTCTTTACCTCCACCTCTAAAGGCATTACCATTTACTAAAGGCAAATTCTCTCTGTAAAGAAATGCAAAGTGCATCTTTTCTGCTCACATATATTCTTTGTGCTGCTGTTGAACAAATGTTCAACACTGCATTTTAATCATAGATATATCTCTTTAATAAATTATATTTATATATAATTTTATACATCCCCACCCCCCATTATACCCCTCTGGCCTGCAGCGCAACTTACAGGTATTACTGTATAAACTTAAAGCCATGCTTGTCCTTTGGCCACTTCAAGGCAAAGTTCTGCTCGGTTCTGTTTCCTCCGCTGAGAACGAACAGACTCAGAGCAGTTTTCGTCAAAGAGATCACACAGACATTCCGAGAAAGTTGGGGGGGGGAGCATACGAAAGGAGACAGAAGTACAAATATTCATTGTAAAATATGTTTCCAGCGAAAAGTCTTCCATGAGATGTTGCCATGGAAACCAAAGAGTCCTCTCAGAGGGCTGTGGATTTTATTGGATGATCTGTGACCCCAGAGTATCACTGCACCCCCTCCTCATCGACGTACGTCGAGGGAAACCATCCAATCTGAATGGAAAATAATGGAATATATTGCTCACATTTTAATATTTGAAGCTTAATTTCAGATCATTTGCTTGCTTTATTACCCTGCCGTTGGCCTCTCCTTTCCACCAGCCTTGGTCTCCACCAATCTTGCTGTAGATCTTGACGATATCCCCTTCTCGCAGGGACAGCTCTCTCATGTCTCGAGCAGCAAAGTTGTATCGCGCCACAGCTGTGCTGACTACCCTGGGTGTGAATACTGTTCAAGGCCAGCAACATCCCAAGGTTAGTGCATGCAAAATGATGACGAGTCCCATTAAATGCTTAAACAACAGATTTATTGACACTTCATGATATTGTGAGCTAGATGTAAATGAATGAAAGCTTGTGACTAATAATGGTCTACTAGTGGGTTATTTTCACAAGTACTTTATGATTTTAAAGCACTAATGGAGCAACAGTGAGACTGATGAAAACACAACCAGGAAGACATGTTGATGGGAAGATGAAGGGCTGAAAGTGAAGAGGAATTTGGGAAGGCAGCATGGATGATGCAAGAGCACGAACAAGCAAGAAGCACAGTACCTGACCAGAAGGGAGCAGAGCTTTGAGAGGAGAAGTTGAGGCCCTGAGGACTGAGGAAGGAGAAGTTGTAGGAAGCACAGGTGGCTGCTGAGACAGTATGAGGATAGAGAGAGCGCCAACAAATAAAAGAGGAAGGGCACAACAGAATTAGAGGGTAAAAAAAAAAGTTCAAGGACATGGTTGCAGAGTCAGCAAGGTATTTGTATGTGCGTGTGAGAGAATAGGCGTTTTCTGTGAAAATGTAAGTAGAATTCTGACAGTCACAATCAAAATTCATTTTTTTCAACATAAAAAATACTACATTTCAGAAGGTTGGAGTTAGTAAGTTTTAACACATTAACTTGATTGATTTTAAATTGATTAAAATGACACATTAAATTGATTAAAGGCCAGACACAAGAACAGTTTTCCTCCAGGCCATATCCCACCTGAACAACACATAACACACCTCAGGACTATACATCTGTAAATAACTCATCAAAACTTTGATCTGTAAATAGCACATATGCACATTCACATTTCTGTCTAGTGACATTTTTTTCTCTATATTTTATTACTATATTGTTATTTATAACTTATTGTATATTCTCTTTATTATTAGTGTTTTTATTACCTTAAATTATATGTATGTCTGCACTATGTTTGTACTTTCTGTACTGGAAGCTCCTGACACTAAGACGAATTCCTTGTGTGTATAAACACACTTGGCAATAATCTTTCTGATTCTGATTAAAAGTAACAGTAAAGTTGTGTATTTTAAAATTTTTATTATTTTGACATTTTAATTCATCAAAAAAATTCTGGAAAATTGTATCACTGATTCCACAAAAATATTAAGCAGCACAACTGTTTTCAAAATGTATTATAAGAATAAATGTTTTTGAGCACCAAATCAGCATATTAGAATGATTTCTGAAGGATCATGTGACACTGAAGACTGGAGTAATGGCTACTGAAAATTCAGCTTTGCCATCACAGAAATAATTTACATTTTAAAATTGATAAAAAAAAAAAAAGTTATTTAAAATTGTATTAAGATTCACAAGTCAAAAGTCAAAAAGAGCTTTATTGACAATTATGTTTGCACATAATTTTTTTTTTTTTTTTGGTGACAGAAGCTTTCAGTAAACACAGACAACACAGATAATTAAAAATAAAAATAAAAATATTTTTATTGCACAATGGGGAGAGCATTTAACTGCTCATGAGGTAGATTGCCTGGGGGAAGAAATTTTTCTTGTGCCTGGCTGTCCTGGTGTTCGGTGCTCTGTAACACCAACCAGACGGCAAGAGTTCAAAAAGGAGATGGCTTGGATGTGAGGGATCCGGAGTGATTTTCTGAGCCCTTTTCCTCACTCTGGATGTATACAGTTCTTGAAGGGTAGACAGGGGATCACAAATAATCCTTTTAGCAGTCCAAACCATCCTCTGTAGTCTTCTAATGTCTGTTTCTGTAGCCGAGCCAAACCAGACAGATATTGAAGTGCTCAGGACAGACTCAATGACGGCTGAGTGGAACTGTGTGAGCAGCTCCTGTGGCAGGCTGAACTTCCTCAGCTGGCCTTTTTCACAGTGGAGTCAATGTGACTGTCCCACTTCAGGTCCCGAGAGATGGTGGTGCCCAGGAACCCGAATGACTCCACTGCTGCCACAGTGCTGTTCATGATGGTGAGTGGGGGAGTGCGGGGGGGTTTCTCCTAAACTCCACAATCATCTCCACAGTTTTGAGCGTATTCAGCTCCAGGTTGTTAAGACTGCAACAGACAACCAGCTGCTCAACCTCTTGTCTATAAGCAGACTCTTCACTGTCCTGGATGAGGCAGATGACTGTAGTGTCGTCCGCAAACTTCAGAAGCTTGACAGAGGGGTCAGTAGAGGTGCAGCTGTTGGTGTACAGGGAGAAGAGCAGTGGGGAGAGAACACATCCCTGAGGGGCACCAGTGCTGATGGTGTGGCGGTTTGACATTAATTTCCCCAGTCTCACTAGCTGTTGCTGTCTCAACTATGCAGCTCCTATGTCTTTGAATGGGGAAACATCAAATTCTCTAAAACTGTTCGCTAAGCTTACGATTAAATTTCATATTTGAAATCACCAACGAAATCTGACAACAACTGTCTCATAAATGTTTATTTATTTATTTATTTGTTAAAAAAGCTTTTTTTCCAGGATAGAACAGCCAGTTCGCATGTGCAGTCCTAAGCACACGTCTCCAGAACGCTGACTGTTTCTATAGCAACCAGGACTTCTAACGGCACCTGCAGTGATGCAATGACTTATACCGATTATAGATTATCTCTTTTATTCAGAAGGTGGGCCTTCCGTCGATAGAGCGGCCATATTGAGCATTGCATTTTTGCCCATTCAAAACTATACAAGTGACATGTCTTGGGTATTCTATAGTGTTTGGTTTGGTCTGGAGGAGTGTTGGGATGATGGTGTTGAAGGCCGAACTGATGTCCACGAACAGGATCCGCACATAGGTCCCTGGTTTGTCTAGATTTTGTAGGATATAATGCAGTCTCATGTTGACTGCATCATCCATGGACCTGTTTGCTCGGTAAGCAAACTGCAGGGGGTCCAGTAAGGGTCTAGTGATGTCCTTAAGATAAGCCAACACCAGTCTCTCAAATGACTTCATGACCACAGATGTTAAGGCAACAGGTCTGTAGCCATTCAGTCCTGTGATTTTGGGTTTCATTGGAATGGGGATGATGGTGGAGCATTTGAAGCAGGAAGTGACTTCGCACAGCTCCAGTGATCTGTTGAAGATCTGTGAAAAGATGTGGACCAGCTGGTCAGCACAGGTTTTTAGACAGGGTGGTGAAACACCGTCTAGGCCTGGTGCTTTCCTTCTCTTTTGTTTCCTGAAGATTTGAAACACATTATCTTCACTGATCTGGAGTGCAGGAGGGGGGGGGAGAGGGGAGTTGATGGAGGTGTTAATGTTTGTGTAGAGAGATGGTCAGAACGGGTGTGGGTGTGAGACAGAGAGTTTCAAATCTACAGTAAAACTCATTCAGGTCTTCTGCAAATTGTTGATTCGCCTCAGTGCTGGGGGATGGTGTCTTGTAGTTTGTAATGTCTTTCAGGCCTTTCCACACTGAAGCAATAATATTCCACAGTGTTTCAGCTTTTCCTGTATATTTAATTAAATAAATGTAGCCTTGATTAGCAAAAGAGACTTAATTAAAAAACATTTTAAAAAATTCTTGCCGACCCCAATCGTTTAAACAGTAGTGAATGTGTATCAGCCTTCGGTTACCTTCATTGTCTGGAAAAGAACAGTGAATATTCAGTGTCCTTTTCTGTTCAATGGAAAATCTAAGTCTCACAAGTTTGAAACAACATCAGTGTGAGAGAATGAAAAAATTTGGTTGAATGGCTCCTTTAAGTAGCTCTTGTGTTGGATATGGAGATCTTCAAGCCTTGCATATTCTTAGCCCCTCACAAACAGACATTGTCTTTACGCACTTACATAAAAATATCAGTGAACACCAGTTAAGCTTGACTGGAAATGAACAAAGGCACATCATTTTTAATACATCTAATGAAGCATCTGTTTATTGGAACCTATTCAGCTGGTTGAGCAAAACTTGGCCCCAGGAGTCAGAAGTCTCAGTCAGGCCTCAGCCTCAGCCAGAGTGGGCGGCTCCTTGACAACCAAGCCAATGATGACTGACAGTTGAAATACCAGGAGGCGGGGCATACAGAATGTGAGGGCGGGACCAGCTGGCAGGGTTTGTTTGTTCAGACTTCCAGAGCGTGTCCAAAGATTGTGTAAGGCTGCTGGCCAGACTGGTGGGGGCTCAATAAAAAATTTGTGCCAGAAAAAGCAAGAAAGCAGAAGAGTGAAAATAAAAAAGGGAGAGAGAAAGGGAGCTGAAGAAAAAGAGAGATATAAAGCTGCAGAGGATTATGGCAGCAAATGTTTACCTGGTGAGCGGGTATTGGAGCGAGAACTCGAGCGTTCCCTGGATTTGTAAGGGTATCGTAATGTTGTGTCCAACAGCTTAAAGCTCTCTTTCAGTGAATGACTCTGATAATACTCCACAAGCTCCTGTAACAAAGAAACATATCTAAAGTTACTTACAGCACTTTGATGTTCCAGATGTTTTCATCTTTATCAAGATACTGTGAAACTGTAACTGCATTTCCAGAAGAAATATCCGTATTTGCAAGGAAAAAAGTTATAGTTTTAGGTAGGCTTAGATTAGGCTTTGGTTCTGTGTAAGCGAAATGCAACAACAATGCTAAATTAGCATCACACAGCTGTGCAGCGTATGGCTACAGACAGACAAAAAACGAATTCAAGAAAGAAGACCAATCACAATTTAGTATGCAAATATTCCAATGACATTATCACTGTTTGTAGATTTTTATTTATACACAAAATCATTACTGTTCAAAAGTTTGGTCAGTATGATTTTTTACAAATATGTTTTGTCTCTTATGGTCACCGAGGCTGCATTTACTTAATTAAAAAAAAAAACAGCAAATAATATTGTGAAATATTACTATTTAAAATAACTGTTTTATATTTCAATGTATTTTATTTCTGTGATCGCAAAGCTAAATTTCCAGCAGCCATTACTCCAGTCTTCAGTATCACATGATGATGCTCTTGATGCTCAAGAAACATTTCTTAAGTATCACAGGTATATTTGTACCGATAGCCAAAAATACATTGTATAGGTCAAAATTATTGATATTTCTTTTATGCCAAAAATCATTAGGATATTAAGTAAAGATCATGTTCCATGAAGATATTTTGTAAATTGCCTACTATAAATATATTCAAACTTAATTTTTGATTAGTAATATGCATTGCTAAAAACTTCATTTGGACAACTTTAAAGGCGATTTTCTCAATATTTAGATTTTTTTGTACCCTCAGATTCCAGATATTCAAATAGTTGTATCTCGGCCAAATATTGTCCTATCCCAACAAACCATACATCAATGGAAAGCTTATTAGATGATGTATTAATTTAAATTTCTAAAAATTTAAATTAATACATCCTCTCCCCCCCCCAGAATTCTTTGATGAATAGAAAGTTCAAAAGAACAGCATTTATTTGAAATAGAAAACTTTTCTCATTTTTGATCAAATGAAGGTGTGTTTGCAGAATAAATGTTCGTTACAAAAAAAATATCTTACAGACCTTTTGAATGGTAGTGTGTATATGTATAGACACTAAAAGAAAATATCTACAACGTAAAACTTGCAAAGAAATCAGTATGCTATGTGCTTCATGTAAATTAATTGTGCAGTCTTCACCATGCAAGCATAATACAATCCCATAATACTTTTAATTGCAAACTCTCTTACCAGGAGGCTTTCAAACTTCTTTGCCTCTGTGATGTGAATCCAGCTGTCTTTCTCAATAACTTTAATATGCTTCACTTCATCATTAAACCTGTTAAAAGGCACATAGCAATGGTGAATGACAAAATACTAAAAGTATTTAATATAAAAAGTATAAAATATTCTTGACATGAATACATGCCTTTCCTATAACACTCACTTGATGCTGATTGCGAATCTCTCTGCCTCTGCCGTTCTCTCTCGGATCAGATAGGTGCCGCTGCTGTGAGACTTAAGCAGGTTGTCGGCCTGCTGTCTTTCCATGTTTCCTGCAAACCTGAAGCCCACAGGGAAAACACACCTTATTCACGAGACCGTTCAATACCATGTACATCATTATAGCAACTCTCACAGAGGTCGTTACCTCATTAAGAGACAATAAAGACTCAACAAGCCTCACAATTAGCCTAAAGCTAATCAATCATCACCATTGAGTCTAGTTATGACACATGTAATTCCACGCAAATTTCACTAGGTCAAACAACAGTAGCATAGCTAATTATATTATTAATATATATATATAATATGAGACTGTGAACAGTGTATTACAAAGAAACCAAATCTTGTAGTATCTTGGTAATGCAATGAGTAAGAATGGAAAAATCAATGTGTTTTAAAACAGAATGAAGTACCAGGGATAAACATAGTAATCTGTCTCTCTGGAGGACTGACGGCTGGAGAATGACTGGAAGGGCTGTAGAGAAGAAAACCATCAAAAAATGATTTGAGACAACAAGGCCTGGTTTCATTTCTAATAGTGAAGAACACTGTCTACAATTCTAGAATACATATATTTGAGAGAAAGGAAAGAAAGATTAGGAATAATTTAAGAAAATGTAAATGTTACATTTTTTTGATTGTATTGAACCTGTACCTTAGGGTCTATACATGGTTTCACACTGGAACTGGGGAAGTAGCCAGTCTTTTGGGTTTGGAGTGTATTACAAAGAAACCAAATCTTGTAGTATCTTGGTAATGCAATGAGTAAGAATGGAAAAATCAATGTGTTTTAAAACAGAATGAAGTACCAGGGATAAACATAGTAATCTGTCTCTCTGGAGGACTGACGGCTGGAGAATGACTGGAAGGGCTGTAGAGAAGAAAACCATCAAAAAATGATTTGAGACAACAAGGCCTGGTTTCATTTCTAATAGTGAAGAACACTGTCTACAATTCTAGAATACATATATTTGAGAGAAAGGAAAGAAAGATTAGGAATAATTTAAGAAAATGTAAATGTTACATTTTTTTGATTGTATTGAACCTGTACCTTAGGGTCTATACATGGTTTCACACTGGAACTGGGGAAGTAGCCAGTCTTTTGGGTTTGGATGAGATTGCCCTGAGACGAAAATGCAACAATTCACAGGTAATGAATTAAGGATAGCAAGCCCCAAAAAAACAAGACACCAGGTTATACTACATAAACTGCATTAAGTATGACCAAGGTTCAAAGTTGACCTGCCAATGGTGTGTGAGAAAACTGAAGAAATGTACTGGTCATAAATATCTCTTACCTGTTAGGAAAATGTATTTCTGATTTGGTTGCATCTCCAATGTGACTAGTGATTTGTGATTGTGATACATCAGAAAGGGACTGTTGTTTATGTATTGCAATTTCAACCATTTAAAACAATGCTATCATTTCTAAAACAGGCCAACTGACAAATTACATTTAATTTACTCACCATGGCTATTTTTACTAGCATATGTTACCTGGAAAGCGTAAGATTTGGACTACAAAACAGGTTATCTTTGTATACATGGTAAATTTTCATTTTATAATATACCTCCCACCATGATGTATCTGGATCTCCCTTCAGGAGCTCAATGATATCTCCTGTCTGAAAGCAGAGAGGCATTTTGCCTTGCGGGGCAGGGCTACCATGGTAATTTCTGATGGCCACCATCTTTGGACCTTAAGAACACATTGGGAAAAAAAGCTCATTATAACTGCACAAAGAACAAAGTGCATGGATGCTTATAATTCATATTCTTAGAACACACTCACACTCTGCATTTATTGCATGTGTGAACTATGCACTAGATGGAAGCAGAGAGCTGATGTATAATTTCTTTAAAGTATAATTTTCAGTTTAACAGCCTGAAGCCTGTGCACAGTATCTACATTTTACATATTGATATAACCTCATTAGGATCACGGGAAAGACAGACAAAAATCACATTTTACTTATATTTTTACCTGATTGTGGAAGCCCCAGCTCCTGTTAAAGACAGAGGGGACTTTATGATTTAACGCACTTCAAAGTGTAACATAGTTTTATATAAGCAGATCAGGCATAATTTAAGACATCCCTGAAGTGTTTATCAAAATTGAGGACAAACTTTAAGAAGTAAGTTTAGTTCAAGTCAATGAGAGAGGATGATTAATTTATCTGAGAGATGGAAGTTTATTAATACAGGGCACTAAAAACTCACCGAATCATGAGGACCTGAAATAATAATGAAAGAGAGAGAGAGCATGGTCAGTGGTCTGATCTCTTTAATTAGGGCAGATGTGTACACGTGGTTCTTTGAGAAGCAGCTTTCTGTTAGAGACTCACTTATTTTGCAGATGGTAATGACCTCTAGACACTCCTTATGGGCACCAGTCCCACAGAGTGGACAGTAGTATCCCTGGTAGAAAATACCCCTAAAGAAAGAATGATAGAAGGAGATAGTCAATATAATATGACAATATGTCTTCATTTCCTGAGGTCCTACTGAAGTTCAAATTAATCCAAACTAGATTTCGCTATGGTTTTGAATGATGCTCGCCCATGCATAACCCAGCACTATGTTGCTAGGGTGTTGTACAGTAAGTAGTTGCCAAAGCATTGCTAAACAGTTACTAAGGTGTTCTGGGTTACTGCTAACTGGTCCATATCAAAAGAAAGCCCTCTACCAAGTTCATGCAGAAAGAATCAGATTTTTTTTGCAATCAGTTTTTTTTAACAGCAACAAAATGCAAGAAATCTTATGTTTACATGCCCATTTTGTCTCATTTACTCATTTTCTCCAGCTCTTTCTTCATATAGGGAACTATGTGACCAGTTCAAAAATCCAGTTTTACATCCTCTTGGTCAATGCTGATTCCAAGCTGTTTTCTGAAAAAGTCGCTTTGTGCTTATGCTTACATCATTGCTATAACAGATACATCAGATATTGACAACACTGCCTGAAAGAGATTTTATCACTTGACGGTACGGACAGTCAGTCCTAAAGATGCTATTTGAAAACCAAATGTAATGTGCACAGCATCTAAATCTGTGATGTTCTGGTCCTGACTTTAATGTAAGTCTATGGGTCCAAAATCATGCATTTAATTTGCTTAGAATTTAACAAGTCACACAATTTCAGGCATCATTATTGTCCATAGCACAAATGGTGTGCCATGTTACACAATGAAATGTTACTTAGAGGCTTGTTCAAATTCTAGGCATGAACTAACAGTGATGCTTGGCTTTGGAAGCCAACCTATCATGCATTAATACAACCACAACAATCACCCCATGTGGCTCCATATGTCAGCACAACTAAGCGACAACATTCAACATCCAAACTAATCCCAGGCCAGTTTGCCACAGATTGAAATACAGAGCTGTTATAATTAGCAGCTATTGTGTACACTGACCTGTGCTGCAGAGTGGAAAATTTAGGTCAGTACACTATGATTTCACACAAGTCAATACAGCCAATCAGTGAAGCAGCTCATGTAATAGAGGTCAGACCAGTAGCCTAGTAACATGGGTTGAATCCCGTCTCAGTCCACTGCGCTGCCTCTGTAATTCAGGAAGAAGTGGCATTTGTGCATGTGAGCCCTCACCTCAGCAGCATTTTACAGGCTCTGCAGTTGGTGTTTTTTTCAAAAGTGTGCATTTGGAAGTTGTGCTGGTTGGCAGTGGCTCTTTCGGGTTTGATGTTTGACCTGCATGGATTAATAATTAACACATGTGATATGGCAATCAACAATAAAAATACTGTGTAATTTTGACACTGATGTGGTTCTAACATACATGGCCATCTCAAACTGCTCCATCCACTTGCGCTTGGTGTCCTCTGTCTTGCAGAAAAACTGGAAGCCCTGTTTACCCTGCAGATGGATCAGGTAGAAGCCATAGGACCACTATGGGTGGAGAGAAGATAGACAGAGAGAGAGAGAGAGAGAATGGTTTGAAAATGTGTTAGGAGTAGTTCACATAACCCTATGTACTGTTTTATAATTGTTCATTAAGTCTATGTATATGCATTTTTGACATTTCAATTGCATCTAATGCTACAAATACTTCTTTTCAAAAGGCCACATGAATTCACTTAACATTCTCTTTCTGTGTTAATGAGTTTTCTATTTAAACAGGATGGGAAATTTTGATTGTCCCCTTTTTGAAAATAGCCAAAAGGCTTTAGCTACATCATGCTGCCAACAATTTAATGACTGCTAGTCTATAGTAAAAGTGAGAGGACCATTCTCATTTCTAGAAAGCATTTGTTTGGATCAAAAAACCTTTGACCACAAACTTTTGAATGGTATTGTACAATTTGCGTGAATTTAATTTTGTCAATGCTACACTAACACAGACCTCAAAGCTAACGGACGTGGACTAAAAGTCACAAAACTCTAATTTGACTTCATGGGCTCTTTAGAGGGATAGTTCACCCAAAACCCGAAAATTCTGTCATCATTTACTCACCCTCAAATTGTTCAAAACCTGTATGAGTTTCTTTCTTATGCTGAACACTAAAGTAGATATTTTGAAGAATGCAGTCACTGATTTTCATAGTAGGGCAAAATCCTATGGAAGTCAATGGCTACTGGCAACTGTTTGGTTACCAACATTCTTCAAAATATCTTCTTTTGTGTTCAACAGAAGAAAGAAATTCATATAAGTTTGGATCAACTTGAGGGTGAGTAAATGATGATGATGATAATTTTCCTTTTTGGGTGAACTAACCCTTTAACGTGCTGTATCAAGTAAAAAATAACTTGAACTTTGAAAAATGCATCTCAATGGATTCTACAGAAAATGTTAAATTGCCAATTTGTAAACACTATGATTACATTCTGGCAGTGTAAAACTGCTGTGGATCTCATGAGATGATAGAAAACAGATCACAATATCACAGAAGTGAAAGGCACAATGACAGCAATGCTTAGAGAACATGAGCATTCAGCTTACCATTTTTCCACTCGACTGGCAGGCATGCAAAGATATTGAAGGCGGATAGAGAAAAGGAGAGAAAGAGAGAGAGAGAGAGAGAGAGAGAGAGAGAGAGAGAGACCCTGTTACACATGCATTCTCATATACATGTAAAAATTCCTGATTGTTAGATTCATGGAGAATGCATTGGCTTCTCTGAATTTACATACACATGCTAGAGCACCGAAGAGGGCAGTGCATCATTTCTGATTTGTTGAAATTATGAGCATCATGCTTTAACACTCAAGGACAAGTGTATAATGAACGCAATCCATCTGTGCTATTTACAGAGCAAACATTCAGATCATCCTATTTGCTTTTGCACGGTTAATACGCAATACATAAAGATCATTGCCTGAATCAATTTGAAAGAAGCAATAAAATCAGGAATAATTATTCTGAAACCGGCCTGATGGCTGACGAATCAAAGGCCTCTCACCTTTTTCATGTCACGGTTATTCATAGGGTCATCAGACATCTTGTAGAAGTGAAGTTCGATGATCTCTTTTAACTCATAGTTATAACCTTTCCTCTTGCAAACAATCACAACTTTATCAAATAGGAAGATGTATCTAGGTACAGAAAACACAGATAAAAGATAACACGATATGTTTGTAGCAGAACAGGTCAAAGGCCATTTTTTTATGTTTCATATGAAAACACATAAAGAAGGTGCAGCCGTACCTGTCTTGTTTGGTCCGGTTAACTATAGAGCACACTTTAAGCTCTCCATCTATCTTTGGCCTACCGTATTCCTCTAACTTCACCTGCTGTGAATGACGCAAGCACACGCACACGCACACAAACAGACACAAATACAGTTAATACATTTGTACTGGCATAATGGCTCAAGGAATTTATACATTACTTTGTGACATACATTCAAGCATCAATTGTTCCTGTATGCAATATGGAATATTACATGTAAATATAAGTTACATTTGAATGCATTAAATGGAATTGCAAAAATAATGACAGATTTCTCAAATACTGACATATGGATAAGTTACAGGGAGTTAATTTTTTGTCTTTATTGTGCATCTCAAGAAAGATTTTGCAAGCAAAACCACAGATTTTTTTCTTCAGAACTGTTTTCACACACAAAAAAAATGTTTTGGTTTAAAAGGTTTTGTTGTAGAAATTTGTTTGTCTTGCACGTCATTTTGTTTCGCAGATAATTTTTGTGTGAGAAAAAATATTAAAAGAGTTCTTTATTGCAAAATATCTCCATTATTATGTAGCTCCATACTGTTGCTGTATTTTTTGTTATTGTAAAAACATTTCTGTAATATTTGTTTTTTACATAAATTGGTTTATGTATCAACTGTGACTCCAAGATGGGGGAAAACAACATACTGTATAAACAGAATAAGACTTTATGCAATTATCTTAGATGTTACTGGCAAATAAATGCTACATACATGCAACTGGTAAAGGCCACAGTGAATGTCTTTTGTCTGTAAGTGGCATGCCTCATTGGCTCTTTGATGTTTAGCCACGGGCATCATCTGCACCACAGACCCTCACATAAATAAACCAGAGCAGATACACTAACTCCTACATTAGCTACTGGGAGAGGATACGCTGATTTTATTCCCCTTAAACAGTCCTAAACACGTCCTGCCTGTGCTCATGGCCTGGAGGCTTTCAGGATTTATTTTACTGAACAGAAGTGACAGACGGGGGGCAGGTAGAGGCTTGTAAACAACTTAATGTTTGGGGATAAAGAGGAATTGGCCAGCATGCTGAAATGTGCACAACCTCAGACATCATAAGTCTTTCACTTGACACAGTAGAGGGGGCCAACCATACTTTTGCAATCCTCATAGAAGCTTTTCGTGAAGCCACCATGAATTACGGTTGAGTCCATCCCAAAATGCTGAAATACTGATACCAACTATGATGTTCTCAGCATCTCTCAGTTCTCAATATCTTTCAATCAAACAGGGTCATAAAAATAATTATTAACGACCTTTAAAGTACGTCCTCTTTCCGCATTTTTTCAGATTATGCCAGTGAATCGCACTTCATGAACACTTACTAGATTTTCTATTGAGCTCTGAAATTCACTTATTTTCTTTAGGGTTTCATTGTCTCTTTTCACCTCGTTGATGTACATTGCCAGGTCCTTCAAAGACAAATAAACAGACAAAGGCAAAACACTCAGATAAAAAAATCCAAGCAACTCATTCCCCAAAATACAAAGTCCCAGAGATCACTGCACATTAAACATTCTGCTAGGCATAATTATATTACAACCCAACTGTTGACATCAAACACTGTATTGGGATATTGTGTGTATATGACGGTCATATAAGAGTTCAAACCTGCATGGCTTCTAGTGCCTCTTTAAGCTGCTGCCTCTCCGGGCGGTCCATAGAGTGACTTACCAACTCCTGTGGACAGACAACATAATGATAACTCACAAATACTTAGCCTGACACAAGACTTAGCCTATTTATGGTGATATTTCATTCTAAAATACATTATTTTAATGTTGTGTATATATGTATATACACACACATCGAAAACATAATTAGTAGTAAATAATTTATTTATACCACGGGGCTGTTAAATGCTTGATTGAATGCTTGTAATAGTATTGTTGAAATAATGTGCCATATTTGTCATACATGTTACTTTTTTATCTGAGGAAAACAAATGAGGATGTCCCCAAAGGAATGAGGACTTGTTAGTTTTAGCAAAATTTTTAAGAACAAGCACATGCCATCTAAAGCACAACTCACACACAGCAACACTCCCTGGGTTTGAGTGAATGAAATGGGCTGCGGATAATATGATTTAAGCATGGCTGATTTAAACAGTGTCACTGTATCCACCTCCCATTGCTCACTTCCCTCTCCGCTGTATCCTGGCCGTCTGTCACACGTCACACTCTTTCTCTCCATATCCATTATTAATGTGTGTTGTGAATTAATGATGGTTTGTATCATGCAGGGCATCCTGTTTTATACATGATCTCTATTAGCAGTGGCTGAGCAGAGTGGTGAGCTAGATAGGTCTTGTTGGATGAGGTAAAATGATCTGAATGTTTTATAGGGTTTGGGGGTTCACAAGGTACTGTCGTTCTGCTGTTTTCAAACTTTAAAACGAAAACAAAATAAATGGAAGTTGAACAGGTTCCTGAATTTTTCTTATAACACTCTTAATGACAGCTCATAGTAGTGTTGATGGTGACTCTCACCTTAAGCAAAAGGTGGTATTTGAGGACCCTCTGCATAGGGACCACCAGGAGATCCTGCAGTTTGAACTTCCCATCCTGGACTTTCATGGTACACTCCTGTGGAGGAAGATTATGGCAACAGGTCAGCAGTTTTTAAAAGAAATATCTCAGAACAAATAATGCCCACAATAAAAAAAGTGCTATTTTAAACTGACATAATTGCTAAAGATGACAAGACTTTCTGGAATGTGGCATATTTTGTAAGCCACAAAATAAATAAATAATAAAAGACAAGACTTGATTTTATCCATTAGGATTTGACTGGATTTATGATATTATTGGCCAATTATATTTTTCTTAAAATTTTTATTAATGATTACGAAAACAAGTTTTTCTTTGGAATTCTGTATACTATGGAAATCTGTTTCCACCCTAAATGAATACACACATAAATAAATTTTTTTTTTTATAAACTTCAACTTTATTTTATAATTGCGACTCTGTATCTCACAATACAACAATTTCATATTTTAAACACAATTATCTTTTTTTCAACTCTGAGGTGGAAACAGGCTTCAATAGTTCCTAATCACACACACAATAATACCAGAAACATTTATTAAGTAAACAGTAATATAGTGCTTTTTTAATAAAAAATGTATTTCATTTTGTCTAACGTGTATAAACTCTATACTGTATACAAACAGACATTATCTTTTCCTCTGCACGAATTGTCATCTTCACTTTACGTGCTAATCCCTTCCCTTTTTAATCTCCCTGTTCTCAAATGGCAAGTAAGCAAGGAAGACTTTTTATTAATGATTACGAAAACAAGTTTTTCTTTGGAATTCTGTATACTATGGAAATCTGTTTCCACCCTAAATGAATACACACATAAATAAAATTTTTTTTTTATAAACTTCAACTTTATTTTATAATTGCGACTCTGTATCTCACAATACAACAATTTCATATTTTAAACACAATTATCTTTTTTTCAACTCTGAGGTGGAAACAGGCTTCAATAGTTCCTAATCACACACACAATAATACCAGAAACATTTATTAAGTAAACAGTAATATAGTGCTTTTTTAATAAAAAATGTATTTCATTTTGTCTAACGTGTATAAACTCTATACTGTATACAAACAGACATTATCTTTTCCTCTGCACGAATTGTCATCTTCACTTTACGTGCTAATCCCTTCCCTTTTTAATCTCCCTGTTCTCAAATGGCAAGTAAGCAAGGAAGACAGACTGCTCAAATGTCACGCTTGACATTCAGAATAGACTGAGGAAGAGGTTCATCATCTATGACTATCAGTGACTCCATGTCTCTCCTTATGAAGCATCTCTGACTAATCCACTACAAGAGCCACTCCTCTCTATCCAAGAGGTCTCATAACCACGCACTGAATGGACTGTGCCCGATTACAGAGCCCTTCTTACGTGTGAGATAACAGGACGATAATTATGTGAATTTGTCAACAAGCATGTCCAGAAGTGCGGTTGCTGTGATTTCATCTATAGTCTCCTCTAATCCCATGTGGAAATAATGACTTCTCTCGCCAGTCTTTATTTTTGGAGTCATTAAGTAAACCACACTGCCTCAGACTGGCAAGCACAAAAACAGCCCTGTAGTCTTTGCATCCTGTGCAGCATTAACAGAGAGCAAAATTAGCTCATGCCCCAAAACTGTCAACAGCAGTCTGCTGAGAGGGAATGCTGTGCTGGAGCTGACCACTGGAGCAGTCTCTGGGAGAAAGAGCTGTTTAAAAGCGTTTCTTTAAGGCAGTGTTCCTGCCTCAGCACTGGCTAATGAGACGTACCGTTTTAGTGAGAGAGTGAGACCGGCATGTTGTTTAGTAGATTTTGAGCATTATTAATTAACTTAAAGAGACATTTAAATGTAATTCAAAAATTACATTTTGTCATCATTTATTCACCCACATGTTTCAAATGCACATGCTTTGGAGCACAAAAGTAAAAATAAATAATGTCCTGATTGCTGTTTCTCATACAATAACAATGAATGGGTACTGGAGCTTTCAAACTTTAAAAAGGAAAACAAAGAATCATAAAAGTTGTCAATTTGACTCATCAACTATAAAGTTAATCCAATCCAGTTTTCTCCAAGCCACAAGATTGGAACAGATTGAAATAATGAGAGCGATAACAATGTCTGTTTAATGAACAAATTGTTCCGAGTCAGATTATTTCATGAAACTGATCCAGTTCACAAAACATGTCTGCATGATGTTTTTTTACAAACCAGACTGATTCAGTTCACATTGACCAGTGATCCAGTCCTAGCAGTTAAAAGCAAACTGGAGACGATTTTCAGTGAACGACAACTCACATTTTGGTCTGCTCCTCACACAATTAATTGTAACGCTAATTGTATTTATAGATATATGTATATTGTTCTTTGATAAAAAGGAAGTTCAAAAGAACACCATTTATTTAAAATAGAAATCTTCTGTAACAATATATATGTGTTTATCTTCATTTTTAATCATTTTAATGGATCATTGCTGAATAGAAGTATTCTTTTTTCTTTTACATTCTAACTTACCCTAAAATTTTGAATGGTAGTGTATCACAGTTTCCACAAAAATATTAAGCAGCACAATGGTTTTCAACATTGATAATAGTAAATGATCAAAATGACCAAATCAGCATATTAGAATGATTTCTGAAGGATCATGTGACACTGACAATCGGAGTGATGGCTGCTGAAAATTCATCTTTGCCATCACAGAAATAGAATTGACAGAAATTCCATTATAAATATATTATAATAGAAAACAGTTGCTTTAAAATTGTAATAATATTTCACAATATTACTGTTTTTACAGTGTTTTGTTCAAATAAATGCAGCCTTGGTGAGCATAAGAGACTTCTTTCAACAAAATTGAAAAATCTTAATTATTCCAAACTGTTCACACATACTGTGTATGTATATATATATATATATATATATATATATATACCACACTGCCTCAGACTGGCAAGCACAAAAACAGCCCTGTAGTCTTTGCATCCTGTGCAGCATTAACAGAGAGCAAAATTAGCTCATGCCCCAAAACTGTCAACAGCAGTCTGCTGAGAGGGAATGCTGTGCTGGAGCTGACCACTGGAGCAGTCTCTGGGAGAAAGAGCTGTTTAAAAGCGTTTCTTTAAGGCAGTGTTCCTGCCTCAGCACTGGCTAATGAGACGTACCGTTTTAGTGAGAGAGTGAGACCGGCATGTTGTTTAGTAGATTTTGAGCATTATTAATTAACTTAAAGAGACATTTAAATGTAATTCAAAAATTACATTTTGTCATCATTTATTCACCCACATGTTTCAAATGCACATGCTTTGGAGCACAAAAGTAAAAATAAATAATGTCCTGATTGCTGTTTCTCATACAATAACAATGAATGGGTACTGGAGCTTTCAAACTTTAAAAAGGAAAACAAAGAATCATAAAAGTTGTCAATTTGACTCATCAACTATAAAGTTAATCCAATCCAGTTTTCTCCAAGCCACAAGATTGGAACAGATTGAAATAATGAGAGCGATAACAATGTCTGTTTAATGAACAAATTGTTCCGAGTCAGATTATTTCATGAAACTGATCCAGTTCACAAAACATGTCTGCATGATGTTTTTTTACAAACCAGACTGATTCAGTTCACATTGACCAGTGATCCAGTCCTAGCAGTTAAAAGCAAACTGGAGACGATTTTCAGTGAACGACAACTCACATTTTGGTCTGCTCCTCACACAATTAATTGTAACGCTAATTGTATTTATAGATATATGTATATTGTTCTTTGATAAAAAGGAAGTTCAAAAGAACACCATTTATTTAAAATAGAAATCTTCTGTAACAATATATATGTGTTTATCTTCATTTTTAATCATTTTAATGGATCATTGCTGAATAGAAGTATTCTTTTTTCTTTTACATTCTAACTTACCCTAAAATTTTGAATGGTAGTGTATCACAGTTTCCACAAAAATATTAAGCAGCACAATGGTTTTCAACATTGATAATAGTAAATGATCAAAATGACCAAATCAGCATATTAGAATGATTTCTGAAGGATCATGTGACACTGACAATCGGAGTGATGGCTGCTGAAAATTCATCTTTGCCATCACAGAAATAGAATTGACAGAAATTCCATTATAAATATATTATAATAGAAAACAGTTGCTTTAAAATTGTAATAATATTTCACAATATTACTGTTTTTACAGTGTTTTGTTCAAATAAATGCAGCCTTGGTGAGCATAAGAGACTTCTTTCAACAAAATTGAAAAATCTTAATTATTCCAAACTGTTCACACATACTGTGTATGTATATATATATATATATATATATATATATATATCACTTAAAAAATTTACAAGATTAGACTGCTTAGAGCATACCTCCACTTTACACTTGACATCTTCTCGTGTGGCAATCAGCTCATCCAGTGTCTTCTGAGCGTTCTCCATATGGCTGCAGTACTGGCCGTAGATCAGCAGTCTAAAAAAGAAAGAAAGATCAAAAGATCGATATCATGACCTTGCAATGACATTCAATACTGTGGACTGTCAATGGACTGTCATTTGTGTAATTTGGGTTTGGTCAGTAAATAATGACAGAATTTTTATCTTTGGGTTTATTTTCACTTTTACCTGAATTTTTTAAACCATTAAAAGAAAAAAAAATCTGTGCTACAAGTCATGAACAGATAGTTTGTGTTACATAATTTCAAAATAGAGATACATCTGTTGGGCTCTCTTTATCTAATTAATCTGGGTGAAGCATTTTGTGGATTCTGGATTGTGTACAAGTTAATTTGGGCCTCTGAAAACATCAACACACATTTATTAGATTTCACAATGGACTCCTGATAGTGATCAGCACATACTGGAAGCAGCTCAAAGTCATCTCGTCTAGATGATGGCCCCACGTGTGGCACAGATTTCTGCCTCTGATTTAAGTAGGACACTGGCACAGTTGGCAAGCTCAAACCCTTGGATACTCTCGGCTTGCCTGCCTCTTAACTGTGGTCTTGGTTAAGCCAATTTTAATTTATAATATATAATCATTGCTTAGTTATCCTTGATCAGAAGAATGAAATTGTAATCCCATAGAATCCCAAAGAAGAAAGATAAAATCTGGACAGAAAAGTGGTCTGATCAAAGCAAGAATCATTTTATCTATATCTGAACTGGATTATCCTCCAAGGCAAAATGCGCCTGGGTGAGGTCGAATGAATCAAAAGATGAGGATCAACTCAAATCCAGCTCATTAAATGTGGTCTGTGAAGCGTTACGATTTTCTTGATGGCCTGCAATTCAGTCTCGAAGTCTCACCTCTCTATGTTGACATGCGAGCCACCCGTTAAAATCTGCTACTGTACAGAGTACGAAACTAAAACTGTAGTCTTGAGCTGAAAAGTGTGCTCCCCTGCTGCTCTGCTCAATGTCTTGGCCTCCGTGCCCTTGGACTAAGCAGGCCTGATTAAAGGCTAATCTGGAACAAGAGAGATGACTTGGCTCCTCATGGAAATGGACTGATGGAGATTAATGGTGGCCCCGCTCAATTATGAGCCAAAACGCACATTCAACAGCATATTGAAAATTCGGGAGCAGGTGTCGGGCATTAGCTGTAATAACAGATGTCACAGGCATAATTGAACATGAAGGTCTTCTTTACAAGGCAATTTCCAGATTAAATCTTTCAGGTGCCTTGTAAAAAGGACGGCAAGGGAGAGACGGTGCTGTATGTAGGACACTTCAAACAATGCAAGAATAATGGAACAAGAATCTACACGTAAGTGAAGAACAGTCTTTATCTTTAAAAGGTATTACACGCATCAAACATTTACATTTTACATTACATTGTTAAAAAACTTCATATTGTTCTTTTTGTTTAACTTTTTTGTTTAAAAAAGTATCATGGTTCAAAATTCAGCTTTGCTATCACAAAAATATATTAAAATAGAAAACAGTAAATTTTAATAATATTTTACAACATTACTGTTTTTAGTAGGGATGCAACAGATCACAAAAATTTTTGGGATGACCAAAAAAGTTTTTTCAGGTATTTCAAATGTAAAATAATACTGCATAGTCCTCACTGTATAAATTTAGATTAATCTTTGCTAAACCTACAACAGTTATTCAGTTAAGAGCAGTGAATGATTGTCGTCTTTTGTTAATTAACATTAATGACACAGAGAGCAGCAGGTTATTAGGCTGCTGTCACTTTAAAGGTGGAGTAGGAGATCTTGGAAAATGCTAACTTTAGCCCGATAGCACTGAACGCAAACATCCCACCCTCCCAGCAGTCACCATCCAAAGCCACACCCCCTGAGCGCATGAACGCACACACAGACCAGATGACCAGAGACAATATTACTATAATAAATAATGTCTTATTAACCGGTGAGAAAACTTTATAATATAGTAGTAAGTACTACAATACCAGGAAGGAAGGTCAGGTTGTTGATATTTGCCTGCCATTCTCGCTCTGTCTGCACAGCGTACGTGAACGTGCTGATGACGTATCCTGTCTGCCCGAACAGGGTGCGCAGAGGTATGCAAATACATATGTTGACTGACAGGTAGGAAAGCCAATCAAAACGCTCAGACTGAGCGTTTTGATTGGACGAACATTTCTTGGTCCTACACCTTCCACAGAATATATAAATACATATAAATACATTTAGACCACTTAACTTAATGATTGCTATCGGGATGTGAAGAGACTTTCAACCAGCCTAACAAAAAATGTTTCTGAAGACAATAACCTATTGCACCTTTAAGACCTAATGCACTGATTCAATATAGTGATACACATCCGATTTTTTTCTCAGTTTTCTTTTGTATCTACTTGCGCTTGAATGGTTTAAAAAGCACTTTAATGTTTAAATTGGCAAGACCTAAAAATTTGTGCAAATTATATACTTTCACATGGATACATTTTGGAGTCACATGTGTGCGTGGGGCTGAGTCCCTATAGTTCACGGATCAAGTTTTTACTGTATTTATGATCAAATAAATGCAGCCTTGGTGAGCATAAAATAATTCTTTCAAACTCACACACACCAAAACATCTTACTAAAAACAAACCTTTGAACGGCATATATAAATAAATAAATACATACATAAATAAAAAGTCTGTCACTAAAACCCTGTCCCAAAAAAAACATACCATGTATCTTGCCTTCCGATGATCATGTGAGACACTGGCTTTAATTAAGCACTGCTTGAGGTAAACGTTGATATACAAATTAATTGCACATGAATAAAACCATTCAACCATGTCTGCTATGTACTGTTATAAGGATAGCTACGATTTTTTCCCCTTCCATCTCCACTATCCATTCATACTGCTCAAATGGATGTTCTTTCATACATGCCCTCAGCCCATGCTTTGTCCATCTGTGTTAAGCATCTAACTACTAAATTGGCTAACATCACATTATCAATGAAACAAAATTCTTACAAGCACTAAAAATAATGTTGTGAAGTGTGACGTACATATCCAGTGAGCAGATTTGTTTAGGAAGGCTGCAAATGCCCTTTCATTTAGGGTTGTACTCAGAACATACATTAGTGTGCAATGGAGATCACTCTTTAATGACCCATTAATTATGTGTGTTTACATCCAATTGGATAGAAGTGAAACTTGTTAACAACCAAAAGCAATGCATATAAGCAGTGCCGCCTCAAGGAATGTGCTCTTTATGAAGCCAATTCTGTTGACTGATCCAGCTTGGAGTGCTAAACATTTGGCCTCCGCCTCCCCAAAGGCATCAGTGTTGTAAAAGAAAGGTGTTGAAATGAAAAGAAATGCTGCAATTTGTGTTGCCACTGTCTCGTTGGCTTTATGACGCCAACCAACCTTAAGACATGCAGCATCCTGACAACTGCAATGGCAAAACAGTCAAGGCTATTCAGGCACTTCTCTAGAAGTTCATCCTGGTTTCCTTCTCTTTTGGCACTTCAAACTATGAGGGTGAGATGTGATTGAGAAGATCAGAAAGGGAGAGAGAGAAAAAGCCCTGGGTTGCTTATGTGTGAATATTCCCCAGGGTGAAAGCCTTTGCCATCGCCGTGTAAACACATGCTCTTCGAATTCAACTCTCTTCCGGTGCTATCGCCCGCTGCACCAACTTTCTCATTATGGCAAAGCTGTCATGCATGCTATTTCACAAAAAATACAATTTGGTATGATGCTCTCCTTCCAGAGTCTATCTGTCCACTGGAAAAGACCCGGGCCAGCGAGGAAAACGCACAGAAAAGTGGAAGTGACAGGCCGGTGAGAGAAGTAATAGTCTCTGACATGAGGCATTGAAGACCCCTCACTTTCACTCAAACACAGCCCGCACGGAGTGAATAGTGTCTCAATCTCAACGCAAACCAACTAACTAACAGTTCCTCAGCAACTCTGAGCTCATTCCGGCACTATCACATAAATTAGTTTGGAAATAACACTCCCAAAAAAATTTTCCATTTGAGACTTTAACAACCTCTACAACAGTTTAAAAAACTGATTTGCTTTGCAGCTTGCCGATTTTGTTTAAAACAAGATGGTATTTTCACTCTTCAATATGCCCTTCACAGTGTCAACAGCTTCTGAAAGGCTTCTCAATTATTTAATTCTATGGAAAGCAGCACTGCAAAAGGTCGCAGGGACTTACAAGTGGAGATACCAAAATTAATTAAAGGCAGCTGGGCTTTTGGAGCAATGGACGGAGGTGTGGAAAATAGCAGCCGCACAACAGCCAAATCCCCTGGCCATTTCTCTCTTTGTTGAGAGGAAAGGGAGAGGGACTGTGCATCCCATGAAAAAGAGAAACATGCCAATCAGATGAAATACTGCAAAGGCGAATGACGCAGCCCTGCTTTAATGAAATTAATAATTTGCCAAAAATACTCATTGTTATTTAATGGTTAATGTCACCAAATGTAAACATATCCTGTCAGATTTTATTGTGAAGAAAAACTTTTATAAAAGCTGCCCTTTTTCTCATGTGCAAATATTTTCCTTCTTTTACTTATTAGAAAGAGAAAAACAACAACAATTAAGCCATTCAACTACCATTTCATGCAAAGTGTCAACCATATTTTGAAACTGTCTGAGAATTAGTTAATTCAGAGAGAACTGACAGTAATTGAGCATGAGATGAGACTATTGATGATGATGCGCAATACAGACAAGAAAACAGGTGAAGAAAGTAATAAATCAAATCAAGAAGACAGGAATAATGCCCACTGTTAAGGCATAGAGAAATGGCCATGCGTGTCAGAACAGGGCTGCACCACTGCAATGTAATGCCAAAGTGCATGTTAGTGTGAGCACCCAAGGAAGACTGGCTCAATGAGATGACAGGCTCGGAATTACATAAACAAAAGAATGCGGGCGAGAGAGGCGGTGCTGTCACGCCGACTCTCTGTGATGCTGCCCGCTGGGCTCAGGGAAGAGCCTTGTAATGGGCCAATTACCTATGCAAACTGACAAATGGAAACAATAGGGCTGTCTCCTCAATCTCGATTCTTTTCCATGCTTTATTTTAGGAAGAGATCGATCCCTGTCACCAACTTAAACAACTGTAAATAACCACATAAAAATTCTGAGTGGGTTTGCTTCAGTTAATAGGACTTAAAAAAACATTTGGATCTTACAGAACATTTTGAAAGAGATTTCCGTCAGAATGTGCTGTCATTACCGAAAACGAACCTGTGATTATCATTACTTACACCACAGTAATGTAGAGATCAGCCTCTCCCTGTGAGAATGCAAATGCCCTCCGCAGCTGCTGTATTAAATTAATCTGATGCTAAACAAAATCTCAGTTCCTCTTGAAAGAGCCTATACAGTAATTCTCATTGGGAGAAGTCATTTACCCACCCGAGAGATAAGATATCTATGGAAGCGCTCAAGCAGAGGTTAAATTAGATGTCTACAGCAGAGAGGAAGATAAAAGAGAAACAAAGTCTTTAATGTGCATTAGAACAAGTGGCTGCTATAAAGGGCATTCTGAGGACTTTAAAGTCAACATGAAATCAACACAGAGTGTCTTGCACATTAATGCAATGCAAGTTATTGCAATAAAAGCAAATAATGATAGATTTGATTATGAAAAAAACAGAAAATTAGAAGCAAACCATACTTAGTACCCTTAAAGTAAAAGTTACCCAAACATTAAAATGATCTCATCATTAGCTGCGTTTCCATCCACCTATTTTTATGCACATTTTGGAAATCGCAAAAAAAAATGCTGGATGGAAACGCCAAGATGCGAATAAATTAAAAAAAATGTGCATAAAAAAACGTATGCGTACATTTGAGTAGGATAAACTTTTTATCCGATAAGAAAAAATGCGCATAAACTACGATGGAAACACATTTACCGAATAAATTCCTCCATGCGCATCGAAAAAGTAATGTGACTTTGCGCTATGAGACGGGATAACTTGACTAGCAGCGGACCGATCTCGTTCACAGCATCTATATGTTGTTATGGTCAGAGGCGTCATGCCCATTCAAAGTGAGGAGGCACGTGCTATATCCAGCAAAGTAAACCAAAATATTGAAGGGTGATTCTCAAAAATCTGTATTTTCTGCAAGCTTTTTTCAAGATAAATTTTGATGTCTTTCCAAAAAAGGACACTTAGAAACTCCAAAAGGACACCAAAGAACCAAATGATATAAGGAGCCCATATATGCACATATGAAAGAAAAAAAATCTGAATTTTATAGTATGTGTACAGTGCAACAGCAAAGAGCTTTTTTACATTTTAGAGAAGTCAAGTTGCCATACTGAACAGGACCACATGGAGATGTATACATACACACAGATGAGATATAGTGTACTCAAATATTAAATAAAATTAAAGACTAACTTTTAAGTTTGGATTAATTGTAATTTATAAATATTGTTTACTTAAAAATTTTGAGTTGGTTTACTTAAAATTTATTAGGTAATCGGTGTCCACACAAAAACACTGGTTATCCAGTAGTTTGCGTCTCATCTGGCCATAGAGCGGTGAGATGTGTTGACAATCTGTTCAGTCTGTACTTCACACAGCGTGGCGTGTAACAGCTCGCACTCATCAGAGACAATCACAGAATATGACAGAGCTTGTGTTTTAAAGCGAAACACACTGGAATTAATAATTCACTTAAAACGCAATGCAAGTCTCTGTTCTCTCTGCAGTCTCTGATGTAATCAGCCTGGTGTCCTTTATATTAGCGCTGTTTTGGATTGTTTGAATGCATTCGCTTACTGGATCATTGGACTGAAAACTTTCCCGGAGTTTAGCACCTTAAAATGATCTGATGGCAAGCAGAGAAGCACAATTGGGTTAAAGGGTTAGAATAGAAATTGTGCTTCAGTAATTTTGTGTTAAATTATTTTAACGCGTTAAGGATTGTAAAATTAATCACATGTGTTAACGTTGACAGCACTAATTATAACCAATCACACACGATTCTGTTCAGCTTATGAATGCAATGACCAATCAGAGGGGTTCAGATGAGTCATCGCTGAAACGTGGTGTTTTGTTCACTTGCTCGCTGACTGTGCAGATGTGCCTATGAATGCAAGTAAGATATTCATTTCACAATGTAAACAGCTTCAGTGATTTAAATGGGAGTTTTTTGAGAGTCCCTGAACTCTGGCTAGACTGAAGTGAAAATGTTCTTTGCTCTCTGTAAAATGAAAGTGTTATAATTAGCAGTTCACTTGCTCGCTGACTGAATTATCTGGCGAATTCTCTAATCAGAAACAACAAAGTGCAGATGTGCGTACGAATGTAAGTATAAGATATTAATTTCACAGTGTAAACAGCTTCAGTGATTTTAATGGGAGTTTTTGAGAGTGCCTGAACTCTGGCTAGACTGAATGAAAATGTTATTTGTTAACGTAAATGTTCTGGGCTCTCTGTAAAATGAAAGTGTTATAATTAGCAATTTACAATATTGTTATTAAAGGGGTCATATGATACGATTAAAATTTTTCCTTTCTCTTTGGAGTGTTACAAACTCTTGGTGCATAAAGAAGATCTGTAAAGTTGCAAAGACTAAAGTCTCAAATCCAAAGAGATATTCTTTATGAAAGTTAAGAGTCAGCCACACCTACCTAAAACAGCTCGTTCTAACATGCCCCCACATATCTACGTCGCTATGTGGGAAGATTTGCATAACACCGCCCAAATGTTCACGCAAAGAAAGAAGGCGTAACTTTTATTCTCGCTGTAGTTTTGTTGTTGCCGCCGCCATGTTGTAAAGACGCTGTGTGCTTCGTTGTGAAAGCGAAATTACTTTTGTTTGGTCATCCAAAAGAGGACGATATCTGCTTCATCATGCCTGGAGCTGATCCGCAAGCCCTCCGGACGCTCCTGTGTCGAAATCGCTGGCTGCACCGTTCTCAAGCCCATCCGCCTCTGCTCACTCTAACCCTCCGGCCATTCCTCACGCTAGCCTCCGGCCTCTGCTCACTGTAGGCCGCCGTGTGTGACGCTGTTTCGTTGTGAAAGCGAAACTACTTTGTTTGGCCTTCCAAAAATGGACACGACTAGAAATCAGTGGTTAAGTTGTATTTACAACACTGTTCAAGAACAGTTCAACCTAAATATTCAGATGTGTGCACCGGTATTTAATCGGTCCCGGGGCTAAATTATGAAAGACCGGAGTATCGATAAGCTCTGACGTTAGTCAGACATGAAAGAGAGAGACAAGGTCTGCCTAATGGACGCCCCGCTCGCGCCTTCTGGCCTGTTTGGCGACGCCGTCAATTCGGTCGTTGACAGGTACCAGGAGGCCCGTAAGCAGGCGGCGGCGTTCCAGCGGTTTCTCCCTCGCCGCTCTCTAGTTCTGGGGGCTGCTGGGCACAGAAACAGAGCGTGGCCTTGCGTGCTCCCCCGTGTCGAGACACGAGAGCGAGGCAGCGTTCTAGGTCAGGGGCCTCCAAGGCTAAGCCGGATCTTCGGACCGTACTTAAGTCTAGGAGGTCCTCGGCCAAAAAGTCCTGACGCCACTGGCCCAGG